TTGATATTCATAAATATGTCAAATTCCGAATAATGTAACAGCGTGCTAGGTATTAGAATCAAATATCTCTACGTGTCAATTATCATACGACTTCTTATTCCTGCTCCGAAGACTATCCCCAGGGTTGTAACGGAAAGTCTTTGAAATGCAATCCTCCTTTGGCTGGAAAATCGTACAGTGCAAATGGTTAACTGCCAACAATAGGATATACGATGTTTTGGTGCTCGTTAGAGGTCGACAATGCTAACGTTATCAATGTACTTTTAACTGTTAACAATTCCAAATTCGTAAGCAAGCACATAAATTCTATATCCTTGTCATCCTCCAATCTATCTACAACATACACAGATACCGTTCTCGTGTTCACAGCCAAATTACCGTTCGGATATTTGGTGAAACGTGACCTTCTTCGTAATTGTCCCAAGGTTCCAAGCGAACTGATGGAAAACTTGCAAACATCTTCGTTGGAGGTTCGCAGATAGACTAAAGAAGAGAGGTGAAGCTTGGAACGCAGCTGTGAGAACGTGAGGAAGCAGACGAGTTGCGAAGATATGCCCTATCACGTATGTGGAACAAAGGCGAAGATATGCTTGTAAAGTTAGGGGCGACCAAGATCCCTGGTTACAATATGAGTACTGCTCATTTTCAGTAAACATGCACTCTAAAACTGTTTGACTGAGGTACGTCCATCATTTGCTTGCTATAGTGGCCCAGGATTACCTATCTGATACATTCCTAACTACTCCACATGCTTTATCAGGGTTGACACAATTCGCAAATTCCACAGTGCCGTTATCTCATGGCTCTTTCAAAATTGCTCTGAGAGCAAAGCGCTCTCCCCTGCATCTTCCAACATTTCTTCCAAAGTTTCGCCTCTCCTCTCTCTCGACAAACCGACCGCTGTACTTAGGACCGGAGGAACTTCCGCCACACCAAATCGATCGAAAATTCGGCACTATCGTGGCTGGAGTTCGCCCGCATATGACGTACCGGCTCGGAACGATTCATAGAATGGATGGAACGTGGATGAAGCGCAACATCTGACCAAGTGTGTCTCTTCTTACTAGGGACACGGTTTCGGCCGAAGAAAGCAGATCTTCAACGGTGTTAATAATGCTTTCCCTCCCTCTGCTCAGCCGCCACTCGCGGGATCTTATTGCTCCCTTCCTTCTTCCCCTTCCCTTCTCCGCGCTCTTTTCCACGACGAATTCACGTAGCCAGAAGTTTCATATGTGGCTATATCGACGTACCTCCCGTCCGAACAGCAGCTGAAAGCGCCCAACGTGTGCACCATTAACGAGAGTAGTTAGACAGGGCCCAAAGAGAGTTTGCTACATCTCTGAGTCACGGAGGATTTTCTCCCAGACAATGTATTTCTTCGAATAGATATAACTTTAACGAGACATTTGGTGACTGCAGTGGAGGTTTTTGATAAACCATTGTTTGTAATATTGCCGAATTTCGCGTAGTACTTAATAGTAGTGTTTAGTCGGAAAATGTTTAGTATTTTGACGTATACTTTGGTCAATTAATTGTAAATATTTTGTCGATGTTGGTTCAAAATTTTGCGCCAATTCTTGCGCACGTCAACTACGCTGATGTAGTGATTATTGCACGGAATATATCTAATTCGCTGTTTACTTCACTTTTAAGATGTAAACATATTATTTCTTTCAAAACAGATACGTATAGGGCAATTAATTTTACGTGACCTTGAATTCGTTACTGTGAGTATATTTGTGCAAGTTTGATGGCAATTTCCAGACGATTTCTGGCAAGAACTGGATACCGAATACGTTATTAATTCAATGGAATTCTCGCTCTAACGTTGTACACGTAATCTGCACTTACACGAGAATCGCATTACTATCTGCGAAGGAAATGTGAGCTGCACTTATTGGGTATGATTTTGTGAGCTATTGCTATATACTCCTAGGAAAATCAACTCCTATTTATGCTTCGAATGAATTCTCAGTTCACGGGAGTTAGCAAAGCTTGGCTTAATCAATTCTAGAATAAATTTAATATCGCTTTCAAGCAGGGTAGTTCATTATTTCAAATCTGAATCCTTTGCCTCTGTGCCACAAGTTGTAAGAAGAATTACACTCTTTAATGCGCGTAAGAGATGCATTTATTTCGAAATCTGTTGGAATATTGTTAGAAGATGTTTAATCAACCATAACGGTATTAAAGCGGCCAACGATTTTACTTTCAACATATATAATTTATCTTCCTTGAAGCGAGTTTTAATTTGAATCATAGAATTTGCTTCCCGCCTTCCTAGGAAAAATTATTATGTGCACTTAGATGCGGTCGCAAGTGTTATCTTCCCAAAACATCAGTTTATTGGCTAATGCTACGAAGAATATGAATGGCCGATGGTAATACTCTTAATTACTTCAAACCATGGGTAGTTAGTTCCTCTAACACCACATCGCTTGAGACAAATTTGATTTCTAAGCCTCTAGGCTGAAACATCCTCGGTGGTCCGTGATCCAGCATTCACCCCAGTATAATAAAGACCTTAAGAAAAGTTATACATAATATCTAACTATAAACGTCATGCTGCGCTAATTTATAATACGCAGGGAGCACGGAATAAGATATTGTAGAGACATAATAAGCAATATTACCACCTTCACGCCATTTCTCATTTCGTTTCTCCTGTCGCCAAAATAACATTCTGAATTTTATGTTCATTTGCATGTGCTAAACACGCTAAACTAACTCGGTCAAGCTCCCTTTCATAAAATGCATAGTCTAATCGAAGCAATTTATACGATACTCATTCCTGTACTACATCGAATTTTCATTGATATATAATATTCTCACAATACCTGCACAAATGACTACTCAAAATAGCGACAAAAATAGCCTTCCATATTTGCCAGCAGCACTTACACGCGCCTCGTAACCAAATACGAATTAGCGCCCATGTACTACAATATCCTTGAGAATGAAGACGGATGGAACGTTCCATCCTTTCACGAGTATGCATGTGCACTTCGATACTCGTGATTCTTTCGTGTGAACCTCCGTCACATGTTCTAGCCATGGCCATGTTGTTGCAAAGGGAAAAATTGTGGGAGAGAAAGGGAGGACTAATGAAAATGGACGGTGTTGCAGAAAGATGAAGAATGTCACACACACGCCTACATACACCGGGGAATGGAGGGAGTACCGCTTGTGCGGGAGTATACATTGGAAAATTTGTTCTAATTCGTTCATTTATCTACATGTAAACATTCATATCAGGCAAAACATCCGACGAAGTTATCCACAGGAATCCTATATAGAATGAAAGTATCGATAACTAAAATTTAATACCACTTGCACTCTGCATCTACGCATAAACCTCCATTTTAGACACAAAGGAGATAGAAATTTTTCATAAAATGCCGTAGCAATAGCTACACTGTGCGACAAGATATTCCGCTCTATAATTTGCAGTGCTTCGCCAATAACTTCAGGGCGGCATATCTCGGTAAAAAGAAATTATTTCTGATCATAGACAAATTTTATTTGAGGGAGTACATAAGCGTTACACGAAGCAATGGATAAAAACTTTCACGAAATTATTACTATTTTCAGAATATTATGTGGGATAAAAATAAAACAAGCAAAAATCAATTGCTCGTATTTATTTGTCCCATATACGTAACGTGGCAACCAGTGTAAGCAGCTAGATTGGGATTCACCACATTGAACTATAGAGGATATTAAAAATGAGGCTTTTAAAATATCGTACCCTCTTTGTCCTGTCTTTCCCTGACACGATCGCCAAGCACTATTGCGTTGCCGCGACCTTTCGCATAAACCGGTAAAATATGTGGAAAGTATTGCAGATTCCATTTAATGTCCGATTGCGGTGTTAAAGACTGAAGAAACTAAGCGAATACGTACGTGACATGCGCGTACGATGTATTTCGATGTAAGGAACATAGAAATCTGAAGCATGACTACTCCCACCCCAACTTTGAACAAACACAGCCAGGAATGTAGTCATTTGTTAGGACGGGTACAATATTTGACAGTCATACAGATTTCACATTCCTTCCAGTTCCCCAAATACGTCGTAGTTTCTCGGTGCCTGCGGCATGTTTGCCATGGATAATTTAGCACAAGGCGTGTCCATTAAGTACTAACTTATAGACTAAACTGAGTGGTTGTGGATATTTGAAGTGAAAGGAGGTATTACAAGTTCGTTAGGAAAGACGCATAATAGAACGACGAGCGGTTTAATCGAATGGAACTATCGAAGTGGGGCTAGAAGACGAGGCTGAAGGGAAAGTGCTCGTATGAAAAGATAAGGTCGCGTGCGACATCTGTCTCTCCGCCCTTTCGTTCTTCTCTCCTCGATTTTTATTTGGATTATCAGGTATCAGGGGTACGGATCCTTTTTCTACAGAATCGTGTGCAAGGAAGGAAAGTGCACTTTCTAAGCGGTAGTAGAGTGGGAAGGGTTGAGCTTGAAGGGAGGGATGAAGATAGCGAATAGTTTGAGGGCTTCTGGCGCTTTGGCTCTTAAGGACGAATCACATATGTATCGCGCAATAATATTAAGGATATTCCGTTAATTGATTGGGTCATCCAATTCCACAAACTAACCGCGTCTTGCTTGCAGACCACGAGAATATAGGAGGTATATGACTCAATTTGAAATGAACTACGCATATGCTACTTGAAAGATGCGTGCAAAATTTTTTTATCCGACGAAGTACATACTGCCGAATTTTGGAATGGATTTAACACTTAACCATTTAACTTCATTACAAATATTATTGTAATCTGCCAATTGGCTAGCGCTATGTATATGATCAATTATCACATTAAACTCTGTTACCATTGGCTATGTCCTCGAATAATGGCGATCATAAAAGATAGCAGCACCTCATGTGATGTACTGTGCTCCTGTTGTTAACTGCATGCCCACATTTCCTTCATACAATTCGCCCTATTTCGCAACCTACGGCTAAAGAATTAACTTTAATGCAATTTACCTTGACCTGCGCATTAAAGGAATTGCCACCAACGATTTGAAGGAACTTTGGATTAACCATCATTCATTGCGGTCTCAATTATAACACCATATTTTACTCTTCCAATATCCGTTCCTCATTCCCTATTGCGCGTAGTATCGTAAGCTCGAAGCTCACCGCAATACAATGCTAGCAGTGCAGAAGCTGGAAGTACACGCTAACAGGCGTATTCGCATTCAAGATAAGTAAAGTGAAGTATACTGTGCAGGGTTTGGTACTTCTTCGGAATTCGGCCGTCGAATTTTTACACCCTGTTACTGTTTTCGCCGTTCACAAGGTCATCTGGATTGAATGGCGCATCAGCATGGAAACAGAGGACATCGATTAATTGTGCATGAAATTTTTAGGCTCTACCACCACAGCAGCGCGCTCCAGAAAGTAGCAAAGTAATGCAGAGCAATAAGAAGCACCGAATATCACCGCATAGCACAGCATACCACACAACTTCTCAGGTCGGCACCACTCCGAGCAGCACCGCTTCCGCAGCACAGAACTTCAGTGCCTGGTACCGAATTGGATAAAAGCGCAAACATAACAGAGCACAGCAGCGTGCAGGTGATGGCAAGGGGACGCACCAGGGCGCGCGAAGGCCCAACCGAGCCCAGCAGTGCTGCGAATACCAAAGAACAGCTGCAAATAGCAAAGATTCCTTAATTAACATAACCGACACTAATCACAACAGGGCACAGCAGGGCTCAGGGAAGAGCTTCAGAGTGCAGCAGAACACAATGAAGCGTCGTATACCCCCGAAGAGCAGCTAATAGCTTAAGTTCCTAACCAAAGTCAACGTAACCTATCCAAACGTATCCTACCCTGACGAAATAGAGCCTAACTGCAGCAGTGCAAGGCAGGGCGTTGGAAAGCGCAGCAGGCCTCAGGGAATCTCCGAATCAATCGAATAACAGCGAAACATACACCCTCCAAACCTATCCCAGCTTAACCAATCCAAGCCTGTCATACTCTAGCCTCACGTACACTGCTTTCTGTAACCTAACTGCAGCTGGGATCAGCAGAACGCAGGTAATTGATGCAGATAGCAGGAGAGCACTGTGGTGCGCCAAATACCAGAGAATGCTAGCGTGAAGCACAGATTCCAAACCCAAACTAGCCCAACTTAGCCCATCCATAGTTGAGCACGTCACAGTGCAGTTGAGGACAGCAGAGCATAGCACTGCAGATTAAAGAGCCGAATACCACTGGTGGTAGCACATAGCGCCGATTCACATCCTAACATTATCCATCGTTGCACATTCCAAACTTACCAAAGTGAAGCATATCTGTGTGAAACGCAGCGCAGCGGGAGAGATCAGTGCATATTAAGGCGACGAAGACCACCGTATCGCAGCGAATAAAGCAGGCTCATGTAGTATCCTAATCTGTCATAACCTTGTAAAAGCTACCTTCCCAAACCTATCCAGAGCGGAGCATTGCAGTGTGCGCCGAAGTGTATCAGAGCGCAGCAGAGCTTACGTAGGCGCTAAATACAAATGAATAGCATCACTGCCATTGAATTAACCTATCCGCTGATTGTTAAATACTATAGCAATTACAGAATGATCAAAGGATGTATCTGTTATGGCTGGAGATACAGAATTGAATGTACAGTACTGGTTGCATCTATCTACTCAATATTAGTTGCATTGTAATAATCTATTTACTGGTCATCCAAATTCTATGACGACGATATAATGACGAAGGGGCAAATACATTATCGCCAAAGATATCAGCAACTGGCAATACAGAAGTGGGTATATCTGCTTGCAAAGTTATATATCCATTTCATAAACCTACACACTGACCTTCTAAATTCTATAACAATCTAAGAATGTTCAAAGGATGGATCAATTATCGCCAGAGGTACTAACAATTGAAGATAAAATGATGAGCGTAGCCGCCATTACTGTACCATTGCCGTTTCAGTAATCTATTCAATGAGCATCTAAATTCTACAATAAATTATTGAACTACCAATGGCTAGATAAATCGCCGCTGGAGAAGATAGCAATTAACAGTACGTTACTCAATATAGCCATCTACATGTTCCTGTAGCCATTAGACTAATCCACTCACTGCTCATAAAATTTCCACAGCAATTTTGTAATGACTAGTTGATATTGCAAATATCGCTAGAGATATTACCAAGTGACAATACGGTACAGAGGGTAGAAATCCCCGCTGTACCATTGAAATTGCATAAATCTATTCGCAGATAATCTTTTTCTATAGCTATTCTACAGTGATCAATGGTTACATTAATTATTCACAGAGAAGTTGACAGTTGACAATGCCTTACCGTGTACAGCCGTCTACGTACTGTAAGTTTTATGTGATAAATCTGTTTACAGAGCACATATATTTGACAGCAACTGTAGCGTCCTACGGTATCGAATCCCTTCGATTTCCGAGAACGCTTATCACGCGCCAATTTAATATTGCGTGACTAGTTGAAATAATAAGGATCCAAAATGTGTGTGATCAAAGAGAGTGTTTATTTAGTGAAAAGTGCAGAATAGTTATATTGGGACGTTAACTGAGTACCGTTTCGAACATGCGTTTGTATGTGCAATTTAGATGTGTGAAGGATTGGTGCCGAAGACGAACTGACTCGTCGATTCCGCTGCACGTCCCGTCTCGTCGTGCTCGGTCCAGAGCTTTGTCCAGCCTAGTTCTGATTGGGTAAAATAGATGTTGGTGGTGGAAAGGTAAAGCGTTTTAACTGGACAGAGGGTGTGACATAAGGACCTTTGGCTACGGAGTAGGAAACTGTCAAGGAGCCGACTTCTGATGGTCGATGACGTGATTTATAAGTGTCGTCCGTCCGTCGCTTGTTGGGTCTGTCACAAGTGGGTCCCATCTGTTGTGTCTGGTTTCTAGTAAAACACCTAAACTTCGCTTTTAGCCCAATCCGCTAGAACGGCGTTGAGGCACATCGAACCTCCGGAATTGCAGTCGCGGTACAAAACACAAAACAGACCGCTAGGCCTGGCAAAAGTGCAAGCCCCAGAATAAAACTATGCCATAAACACGCTCTCCGGGATGGAACAGCAACTTTAAAATGATAAATGGATATATCAGTTATCGCAAAGGGCATCAACTATATGCAATACAGTCCCGTGTACAGCCATCAATACAGTGTAAATGCCATTCAATTGTCCTATTCACTGATCATCTGAATACTATGAAAACTCTCGAAGAACCATCGGATGTATCAATTATTGCCAGAAAACTTGGAAGTTGACCATGTGGTACTTAGTATAGCAATCTCCACAGTGCATTAGGTATTGCATAAATCTATTCACTGATCATTCAAATTCCATAGCAGTTCTAGAATGATAATGAGTAAGGGCGGTTACAAAATTCTAAAGCACTTGTGACTATCCTTGCAGTTATTACTCTTATTACACATAAGCTTAAGGGTTATCAATGTTGACATCAATCATCCCTCGACATATTGCCAATTGACAATACACTGCTATGTTTAACCCTCACCAGAGAACTACTGCAATAGGAATAATTAATTCACTGATCGCACAAACTATGTAGCATTTCTCGAATGACCAATGGAAAGATAAACTGTCGTTGGTGATATTAGAATCTAGACTACAGTACATTCTATGATCATCCACAATGTACTGTAGCCATTTGTTTATTGTATACTCTGATGACATATATCCTATGTCAGTGACAGAAGAGTCATTGGACAGGTAAATAATCACTTGAGATATTAACATTGAACAATTCATTACTGAGGATTTGTATCTACTCAGTACGATAGCCATTTGATTAATGTGCACGCTGGTAATTTTAATTCCATAGCAGTCCTAGAAATATTAATGGGTAGATCAATTATTGCTAGAGATGACAATATTCAACAAAACAGTACTTAGTATAGCTGCCTACACCGTACTATGTCCATTGCATTAATACATTCACTGACCGTTTAGCTTTCATAGCAATTCAAGAATAATTAATGGCAACATCAATGGTCGCTGCTGTTATTCGAAGTTGAGAATACAGAATTGAGTGCTGCTACGTAAGCGGAAATAAGGTCACCTGCGCATTAATAAGGCTATAGAATAGATCTATGCAGTTAATAATTAAATTCCCCAGGAATTCAAGAGTTATAAATGGATGGATGTATTATCTCTAGGGACATTAATAGTTAAGAAAGCAGTAGAGGGTATGGCCATCTAAACAGTACTACATCCATAGCACTAGCCTATTCACTGATTTGTCAACTCTGTAGCAATTCTTCATTGACAAATATATAGATGACTTGTCGCTTGATGTATCAGCAATTGGTATTACAGTACTCATTATAGCCATAGACACAGTATTATAGGCAATGGATTAGTCAATTCACTGCTAATAAATGTTCTATAGCAATTACATAGTGATAAATGGATACTTCAAAAATCGCTAGGGATGGTAACAATCAGCAATCCCGAGCTGTGTATATCCACCTGCGCAGAGCTGCAGTCATTGCATTAACCTGCTCCTCCATTATTTATCTACCATAGCATTTCTATAATGATAAATCGCTGCGTCAACTATCGCCAGAGTCATTGACAGTTGACGATACAGTCGTGAGTGTTGCGTCTCTAGGGAAACATAGCCATACACGTAGCGCTAACGCCAATTCATTAATATACACAGTGGTCACGTAAATTCGATAGCAATTCTATATTGATCAATAGATGGATGTATTCCCGATTGAAATATTTACAATTGATACTACAGCACGTAGTATAGCCATCTACGTAGTACTATAACCACTGCATTAATCTATTTACTGATCACATGAATTACAAAGTAGCCCTAGAATTATCAATGGATTTAACACTTATCTCTGGGGATATCTTCTATTAAAAATACAGCACACTGCAGAGTCACCGACAATAAGCTATACCCAATGCAATAACAGATTTACGGATCATTTAATTCTACTGTAACTAAAGAATCATTAATGTATATGTCAACTATCGCTAGGGACAATAACAAGCAATAGTACCGAACATGTT